AAGAACTTTGCCCACGTGTGCGTGGAGTGTGCCAAAGGCTTTCGGCATCCGTCTGAGCTGAAGAAACATATGAGGACTCATACGGGTGAGAAGCCCTACCAGTGCCAGCACTGTGAGTTCCGCTGTGCTGACCAGTCCAACCTAAAGACTCACATTAAGAGCAAGCATGGCAATGACCTCCCGTACAAGTGCGGACAGTGCCCCCAAGCCTTCGCCAATGACAAGGACCTGCAGAGGCACAATGAGATCTTTCAGGGCCACAAATCCCATCAATGTCCGCACTGCGACCACAAGAGCACCAATTCCAGTGACCTGAAACGGCACATCATCTCTGTGCACACAAAGGACTTTCCGCACAAGTGTGATGTCTGTGACAAGGGCTTTCACCGGCCCTCAGAGCTCAAGAAGCACGCAGAGACTCACAAGGGCAGCAAAGTGCACCAGTGCCGGCACTGCGACTTCAAGATCTCCGATCCCTTCACGCTCAGCCGGCACATCCTCTCGGTGCATACCAAGGACCTGCCCTTTAAGTGCAAGCGCTGTAAGCGTGGTTTCCGCCACCAGAATGAACTCAAGAAGCACATGAAGACGCACAGCGGCCGGAAGGTCTACCAGTGCCAGTATTGCGAGTATAACACTACGGACGCATCAGGCTTTAAACGCCATGTTATATCAATTCACACCAAGGACTACCCACACCGATGTGACTACTGCAAGAAGGGTTTCCGCAGGCCCTCAGAAAAGAATCAGCACATAATGAGGCACCACAAAGACATGTTACTGTGATGATGTGTTGTACAGCTTTTCCTTGTTTCTCAAAGAGTCCTCTTTATGTTATAGATGAACAGGTATAAAGTTTAGGGAGTCTGCAGAGGAAAGGTATTTTCTTGGTATGCAGTGCCCAGCTAAATAAACACTTGTCCGTTTCAGTGCTGGTCTTCTCTGTTTTGAGAATGGTGGCATAGGGTCTTTTTAATCAATCAAAGGGTTCAGCATTAGCAAGGTAGGTGGCATTTTTGAACGATGCAGGTATTGTCCCCAGCTTTCCACGCTGTTGTTTTCCTTGATTTGCTGCATAAGAAATGTTAAACGTTTCAGGGGTTTGAAAGTCTTTTTATACCCACTTTTTATACCCACTTTGGTGAAATGCTGCAAGCAAATAATGTTTTCCTTATCGGAAGTGGTGCTTAGGAAGTCTCACTGTATCCTGTGTGAGTTGTCATTTAAATTGTATTTGAGTGTGCTGCTTTGTTATCCTCAGTAAATATATATTTTTTTACAAACCAGTAAGTCTGTGTTCACCAGCTTCTGCTTAATCCCCCCCAGTCAGTGATGTTAATATGTTGTTAATATTTGGCAGCCCATTTGTGTTGTGGAGAAAAAAATTGCTTCAAAAATGTTTACATACATATGCACCTTGACGTAATTTAGATTATGAAACAAATTGCCAGATTTTAGCAAGCTTTTGTTATGTATATCTCTGAACCTTAGATTGTGTCAAATTGTATTCTCTGATTTGTTAAAGTTTCCCAACATACTGAATTAGTCTTGTGTTTGTTAACATTCATAAAGTTTACTAGTGTTTTTTTAACCTTGTAAATGCCACGATAATGCTGTAAATATTATTAAATGTAACTGACCTGAATAAGCAAGCACACATAGCCAACCATTTTAAGAATCAGTTTAAAAAAAGCAAAACCATGCCTTACATCATTGCCTGTTGTAATTTTCATGCACTGTATTTAGTAAACTATAATCAACAATTTAATTTCAAAAAGTCTCAACTGTGTAAATATTTCTGTGAAGGATTTTAATTTGATGTATTTACTTACTTGGGTTTTTGTTTTGTGAAACTGCACTGGAGCCATTTACAGTAACCCATTGACTGGCCAGAAGAAATGGTAAGTCTAAGCTGTTTGCTTACCCTGTGTCCCACGTCATGGCAGTTTTATCATGACTGGTTAAGTGTTCTAAACAATTGAAATGCTAATGGTGGACTTGCGACGTTCCATGGCTTTGAGCGGTTTTGGTGTTCAGTTCTGTGCCCTTTCAGCTGAAAGAGACCTGCCTTTCCCCGTCTTACCAAAATGTTTTTCTTGTCTCAGGATTATGTTCATTTAGATTATCATAAGGCATATTTAATCTACAATGAGCATTTTTTTTTGCTTATGAAACTTGATGTTGCATAGCAATTGCTCTTCACTTTACACAAGAAGGCCATACAGACTGCAAATGTGAAAGCATCATGTTTAGATCTGGTTGTCCAACTTTGCTATTAACAAAATGACTAAGGAGATGCCGTCTTTCTCCAGCACCGGTAGAGTGAAGTGCACAGAATATTCAGGATAAGATAAAATTTCCACAATAATGTTGAACTGCCTAATATATTAATTTTATGAGAACTGTAAAATATAATAAACTTTATTGTTATTGCATCAATGAAATATATAGTACCGGGAATATATCTACAGCACACTTGCAGTATTTTTTTTAGCAGGAACCTTTATCTAAAGATTTCTTTGTTGTTGAGAAAGCGGAGTCAGTTGCTGGAGCAGTCGGGAGTTACGGGCCTTGCTCAGTACCCAATGGTGATACATTTATAATGTGTTTGTTCGAAATAGCATCGATTATTCATATATAAACAGATCTAACTGAAATGATAAATATCACGATAAAAGGTTTCTACCACAGTTCCTACAAGAAACAAATGTATAAAGTCAGTCTTCCAAAAGTGACATTTGGAATTTGATGTTTAAAACTGATTTAAAAGTTTTAAGTTGTATTTGAATCATTCATATTTATTTGTATTTTACCCTTCAAACCTCACAACTACTTGGGGTGGGGGTGGGGGTGGGGCTCTTGTAAGGGAGATAGTTATCATGCTCTTAAGCAGTTCAGGGGTAACACCTGAAATGGTTATGGATATTTGTGGCGAGACAAATAAAGGCATTGAGATTTCTGTTTAAATATGTTATTTTCTTATTGTGAATGGTTTAAATCACTTTATTTGTACTTTAGGTGCAAATTTAGGCTAATTGGTACCACCAGGTTGGTTCACAACTATCTTACTAAGGGGCGTTTATTGGTAGACTGGTGGAAAACAATTGACTGACAGGAACCGACTGTTTCACAGCAGAAAAGCAAAAACTGCAAATGTTTTCTGAGAACTCAAATGGACGCTCAATGGGAAAAGTACACAAATGTATTGAATACAGAGTTTGAACACGGAGGTGATTAAAGTGGTAAGAGGATGGAAAGAGTAAGAAGAATCTTGGGAGGTTTTTTGACGACAGAGTGCACCTTCCAAATCTCCTGGCATGTTGTATTCTTAGTTTTTCTGCATCTCTGACTATACAAATGCCCATTGCCTAAATGCACAAAGCATCTCACAAGGTATGATACATCACATCTAAAAGATTCTTGATAAAAGGCCATGTCATGTTTCCTGCAGATCTGATCGGGCAGGTGCCAGGTTCATATATGTTTTTATCAGTTAGCTTCTGACAAAACCTGCTGTGGAACAGGTTTTCCACGTGGAGACATACCCAGCCAAAAAGCTGACTGCTTTAGTGGTACCAATAACTTGACTTAAACCCAAACCCAGGTCCTCAACCAAAATAATAATTGTCAGTTGTTTCCAGTTTATCCTTCCATTGAGTATATAGTGGATTGGGCATAAATTCAATCCAAAAATTTGATTATGGGGGTAAAATAAAATAATGAGGTTTTAATGATTAATTATTTTAAGAACAGGGATTTAACATTGACTGTTTCCTTAAGCACATTTCTGTGATGGTTTACCTGACCCTGTTCCATTATGCCCATAAAAATAAAATTAAATGTTAAAGTAAAGATTGCATTAATGTGTGAGCCTGTGGTCTAGCACTGCTGCAGTGTAATATAGGCTAGACAGTAATACTACTGCTTCACGCATTTGGTCAGGTGTCATTTCCTCAATCATACCATCCGTATAATGAGAAATGAGCCGTGGAGGTTTTCAACAGAATGTGTAATTTTTCAAAATGGCATGATCTTTTTTTAAAAGCAAATTGTGAACACTAAGTTGACAGCAGCAGCTTGTGCCAATGAACTGCCAAAGAAAAAGTGAAGTGACAGGTAAAGTATTCCAGTAATACGAAAACACAAAAACAGTGATGGATGAAAGCAATACAAATTCTCCAGATCTGGGGGGGATAACACATTTGAAGAGCCATCTCCCAGATGTCTTAAATCAGTTGTATTCTGTGGTGATCATTAAGATATCAGCAGTACGTTGCTGCTAATGCAGTGAAGTCAGTGTACTGCAGAGTGAAGTCAGTGTACTGCGTTTCCAGCAGCTCAAAGACACACTGGCACCTCAGACACATCTAATAAATAGAAAACCACTAATGCTTCGTATTTTATTGCATTTTTCGAATGTCTCAGTTTATAAAAATAATTTGATGCCTTGGTATTTTTTTGTACCCTCAACAATGTTTATAATGCTTATAATTCTTAAACCAAAGCAGTCTTTATATTTGCCATTTATATTTATATTTTTTTGCATTCCTTTATGATACATAACCAAAACACCATCTTAGCCACCTGCTAAAGAGAAAATTGAAGATCACACCGGTGTTTTGCTGATTGCATAACCTTTTCTGCATGCATTTTGGATTACACAGTTCCAGCTTTGACAGGCACTGACTTGAAGGTTCACGAAAATGCAGTATGTTCAAAGATCCAGTTAATATACATGAAATAACTGTCACAGTGCATAGCTTTGTGAAGTACAAAATCAAAAACATAAAAGCAATGGTGAAATCTTTTAATTATGGCATATTTTTAAAATGTTATAACCATAACTAACAAGCACTTTTTTGTTGAAAAATAACTTTCAAAAAGATTCCAATGAGACTTGGGCCAAAATTATGTCAGTCAATAGGTCAAGCTCTGATACACCAGTAACTTTCATCTCCAATGACAACATGACATTCATGACATTCATGTTGGGGAGTCCCTGCTGATTGTGCTGAAGTACTCCAGCAAGTCCTGCTCAGTAAAGTCCAAGGAGATGCCTGCTCCGGGGTAGCACTTGTTAATGAGGCTCTCTGCCTCCCGGTACTTCTCCAGGAAAGCTGTCTTCATGGCGCTCCACACCTCCTGAGGTTAGCCAAGCAAACAGCAGCCCATACAGAATCACTCATGTTCCTGCACCACGCCGACTCCTTAAAATTTAACAAATTTGCACCCCACCAGAATCTATCAGAATGGGCCACCCAATAATGAGTTATTTTATTAGAACAGGTGGGGTGACTGTGAAAGCTGAAACGCTTTTTTGCTAAATGAAAACTTTGCAAAAGGCTTCAGTTTTACTGAAACCACTTAAAGCACAGAGAGAATGTAAGATGTGCCTCATTTGCGTTTATTTCGCACTTTCATATTTTAAGATGAGAAGCTGCATTGTCAGTGTTTCAGCAGTGGTACTGAGAGAAGGAAGCTGCTTCTCTTAGGTGACTAATTATGTGTTGGTTACACATGAAATAAAGACTCACACTCTCAACTGAAAAATGCAAGTTATAGAAGAAATGTCTAGAAGTAATTTCCTCTTGGGGAATTATATAGTTTGCCTGTCTTTCTGTCTATCCATGGCTTACTGGTGTATAGCAGTGTTTTTCAACCCAGTCCTCGGGGACTGCCAGCCAGTCCACATTTTTGCTCCATCCCAGTACACCTCTACCAGGTATTCAGTATTCTTGATTGATTGTTTCAGGTGTGCTGAGATCTGTGGGAGCAAAAATGTGGACTGTCTGGGGGCCCCAAGGACTGGGCTGAGTGGTATATTACATTACATACCAGTGATACCACGTATCATTTGAATGGCACAGCAGCTAAAACACCCCCCCATTCCTGGCACGGTCAGTGCCAGTGAGTTACCTGCAGCAGGCGGGGGCTGTCCGCCAGTGAGTTACCTGCAGCAGGCGGGGGCTGTCCGCCAGTGAGTTACCTGCAGCAGGCG